GTGCTTATTGCTATTCTGCCCTTCACGCTATCCTGCACTAAGTCCCTTGGCTATTGGCTCTATCCGTCCCCTTTCTCACATATAGTTCCCATTTTGTGTTGGGCCCGTCAACTTCCTTTCTGTGTCTTTTGATCACTTGTCACTGATGAATTCTCTAAACTGATACTGGGGAGGCTCTGGGTATTACTCTGCTGGCGCATTTGAAAGCCCATCAGAAATGAAATGCTGTTACATATCACAAAAAAAAAAAAAGAAACGAACTATTCAGTTATAGTCTAGAGTGCACAGTAAAAAAAACAGCAACTCTTAATCAGTTATGTCTTTAGGAAATTATTTTTAGGCTCCTGATGATGCGATCTTAATTTTAATATCATCCTACGTGTGAGGGAAACAACTATCTCAAACGTTGTGATAAGGGTGGCCATCAACTTGTGTTTTACGAGATTCAAAGATAATTATTTACTCCAATAGAAGATCATAGCAGCCCTTTGTTATCAAAGTCATCCGGCACACACTGACAACAAACAGTGTGCGTTTGAAGACATGGTTTGGTTTGCAAAACATATTCTTGAAATATGATCTTTATAGTGGTAGTAGCGTATATATATATATTTCTTGATCTTATTATGGTATAGCATTTTTTTCCCCATCAATAATAATGTGCATCATGTAATTCTGAACAGGTTCTTGAATATCGTGGGGAACAAGTGAGACGCAGCATTGCTGATCTAAGGGAGGCGCATTATAAGAGAGAAGGCAAAGATTGCTATGTGAGTTGAATTTGATTCATCAACCCATCTCCTACAAGGGCTTACCTTTTACACGCACATTTATAACTTGCATGCTTGGGATGTTGGAAATTATTAGAACTGAAGTTTCCTATTCTGGAATTTTTGGGTCACCTAATAAACAGCTCTAAACTGTCTATGGTTTCTTGTTTTTGCAGCTTTTCAAGATAAGTGAAGAAGTGGTGGTAGATGCTACTGATAAAGGAAATATTGCCCGGCTTATCAACCATTCTGTAAGTCCATCTAACTTGAATAAAATGCATACTTAGTATTACTTTGTTTAATTTTCTGGTTTAAACACTTGCTACTTCTAAGCACCATGATTTAAATACAAAGAAAATTGTGATTCCCATTGAAAAATATGGTGATTGATTGACGACACAGGAAACAAAGGAAGCGCAGTATTGTCAATATTTTGTACATCATTCATGGTCGTCTCGTTTCTTACCTCTGCTTGATTCTTGTAGTGCATGCCGAATTGCTATGCAAGAATTATGAGCGTCGGTGATGATGAGAGCCGTATCGTACTCATCGCAAAGACCAATGTTCCCGCTGGTGATGAACTAACGTACATCTCTCTCTCTCTCTCTGTGTCACACTTGTGTTGTCACCCTTTGCGTTTTCTTTAATTCTTTAATCTGGTGCGTTGGTTGTGTCTGGCAGGTATGACTACTTGTTTGATCCTGATGAGCCAGATGAAAACAAAGTGCCATGTTTATGTAAAGCTCCAAATTGCAGGAAATTCATGAACTAGTAAATATTAGAAGATACCTTGATAGAAAGAACATTTGGAGGGTCAATTTCCAAACAGTTAGCTCATGAGGTTAGTCCATATTACACCCCTATTGTTTCTCCGCAAGGATCACTAACCCTTCCATCCCCTTCATCCGCGGGACTCTTACAGTTATACCCAAGTTGTAATTCTGATCAAATCTAAAAGGAAAAGTAGGAAGGAAAAAAAAAAGTGCGTTTATTTTATTTTATTTTCCCCTTTTTTCCCTTAGACATTCATTGCAGCCTAATAAAAGCTATAGATTTAGCAGCTTTTGGCTCTTGGCGTCTCTGTAAATGTCTCACAAAAGATTACCTTATACTATAATGCTAACCCCCATCATCTTCCTGCTTCAGCAAGTTTTACCGTATTTTTTACCATGACCTTTTAGATTTATGGATAACTATATTGTTCCAGTTACATGACCCAGAAAGTGGGGGCAAAGATGTCAATTGATGACAGAGCAGTCATGAAAAATAATTAATTTTTTTAACGAAAAAATTAAATATGTTGAATATTTATGATAAATGTATCATAGACATTATAAAAAGCTAAGGAAATGAGAATGTCATTCGTTTCTTCATAATTCATACCAAACGACATGGTCTTGATTCTTCACCCAACCCACCTCTCGGATGATATTGGAAATTAGGGATGTTGGCCCTTTTGATTTATTATTCAAATGGAAGCAGTTAGCTTATTTATCAAATACGAATCAAAATTGATTCGTCCTGCAACAAAGAAAAAGAAAACAAGAGATTGTTATCTGGCTATGGGATGTTGCGTTCTTTTCAAGGGAAAAATTGACTTTGATATCCCCGCTTGAAAATTCTTCGCAGGATTTATGGGTCCTACAATTTTTTACTTAACATAACTATTTTTAATGCTACGATTTTTAATATTTCTTCTGTATCCGCTAATATGTTTGGTGGCCTTGAGCCAGTCAGTTGAGTCAACTCAAATTCACCATTGATGGAGATAAAATCTTGAACAACAGTTAAAAAAAATCTTTGAACGATGCTGTTTTGATCCTCCTATTACGTAAAGACGGAATTGAAGAAAAATCTAGCCATTTTTATGAATAAAATTCGCGTGTGGAGATCAATCGGAGGATTCTTCGGATACGAAAATCAGAGATATGCTATCACAAAAAATGAGCCCAGTGAGACATGAATTCGCGATTATGTATCAGTAATGGGACCTCTTCTACCTAGAGGAAGGAAGACAACCTTCTTGGTTTGCAAAATTGTTCCAGATGTGAAGCATTGAAAATCCAAGTCTCTAATCTCATCTATATGCGGGAGACTTTTTTTTTGTAAAAAAAAAAGAAGAACGGTTGACGACCATGTCAAATCGAAATAAACTTTTGAAGCCAAATCGAGATTGACGTAATTCTTGACCAGTATTGTGAATTTGTGATCCATTGGGTGGTGAAGGGAATTGAAAATTGATTTCGTCTGGTTAGTCTCTCTTTCCGGATCCCAAATTATGATTATGAAATCAAATGCGAGTGCTGTAAGAAAAAGGAAGAAGAAGAAGATGAGCATGTAAGCGAGTGCACCTGTTGATGGAGAGATGGCGAGGACGAAGCAGCGGAGGAAGAAAAGCAGAACTGGTGTTGCTTTATGTACCCTAAAGGTTCAGAAATTTTGTGTTATTGTGGATTATGAAACCCATCTTTCTTCCTCTTTTTCATTACTTTGCTGCACTTGTTCCATGCTGATGCTCCCACGGCATTCAAGTGTGCTGTGTGCACGGCTGGACCCATTCGACTTGCGGCTTCATTCACTTCTACAATAAATAAATAAATCAGAAGTTCGGTGAACTTCATTAAAAAAAAAAAAAAACAACTGTACTCTCTTTTATCTAAAAATCCAAATTCACCAATCTTGTATAGCTTGAAGGAGTCAATGAAATACGCAAGTCACATGCGTAGAAGAAGGTGTGTGTCAAGGATTTGATTAATTTTTTAAAAAGAAAATATAGAAATTGTATATTTTACGGATTTTATTATTGATATGAGTGTATATCAATTTAATATAATGTAAAATTTAATATAAATTTTTTTGGTTAAAAAATGCAACTCCTTTTTCAAATCTTGTCCCCTATGAATAAAACATACCTAGCTTCTTGTAAAATTATAACTATTTATAAAAATTAATTTTTTTCATAATTTATTTTTTTGAATCAGCTTGAACGGTAAGATGGGAGAAGGCAAATGAAGTATCCACAACTCAAAACCTCTTCATTTAAAAAAAAAAAAAAAACATAACAAATATCTGGCTGTCAACCAGGGAAGTAATTATTCGCTCCCCCCCCCGGGTCCTCTTAGCGATACGAAGTTCAAACTAGCACTGTTTTCAGAATATAATACTCATTCAATTGTTCCAGTGTGGCCTAAGGTTGCATTGTGAAATGTGAAGGACCACTATGTTAGAAGACACCCCCTTTCCTTATTTTCCTCCCCCTAAAATCCGAAAATGGAATTATATGATGAAACTAGAATGTAAGCTAATGTTTTATACAGACTCTAAAATTAGTTACATCTCATGATAATTTGGCTTGATTTTATACTTTCTATACGGAATAAAATATACATGCTTTTATGGAATTTATAACAGTTATTCTATAACTATTGTTATTCACAAAAGCAATTATACAGGAAAAAATGCTTCATTGAATCCAAATAATCATCTACAAATACTGTTATCCACAAAAGACCTCGTAAACAAGAGGGCTGAACCATTAACCCCACGAAGGACAAGAAGCCTAGAATCCACATACGTTCCACACACCAACTTCGACAAATCAAACATTTCTGGGGGAACCTGCGTTCTTACTTCTTGAAGGACATTTCTTGCCGTACCAAGATCTTGATTCAATGGATCATCGAGAGTCATAGTCACATCAATGTCACCTGGTACAAGCTTGGCTGCAGGAAGACTTGACGGAAACTCTTTGAAAGGGATTACTTTTCTCCATTTCTTGCCAGATATTTTCTGAGCTAAGTCCATCTCGCTGCTGGAATGACCAAAGGAGAACTTATCTGTGGCCTTCTCTTGCTTCTCTTGCTTAATATATAATCGTCTCCCGGCCATTAATCCAAATGAAGATTCCACTTCCAAACTCCCGTTTTTACCAGATTTGTCATGTGGCCAGTCCTGACCAATCATGACAGTGAATCCAATGTTGGAGACAAATGAAAAGTTAGCCTTCAACTTTGATGCTCTACTGACAGTAAGATGCACATCTTTAATGAGTACACGGGCAGGAGGTTGGCGAAGTGTCAGCCCAATATGCTTCCCAGTGCAGTACAGGAGACGCCATTTGCCTGGCAGCAGCTCCAGCCAGTTCTACATACATAGATCGTAACACATAAGACGGCATACTCCGTTAAAAAATGATCGCACGTGGAATATGTGCCTCGTGTTTTATATTTATGAATGGCAAGGAATATCAATGATCTCGGCTGTATAATAAATATTTCAACACAATAGCTTGCCCTTCCAGCTGTAAGTAGCGGGGGCAAGGGAAAACTACCATGCAGAATAATTGAGATGGAATGCCTGAAATAGGCATTCAAGAATTTGAACGAGGCCAAAAGTCCAATAATGCGATCTACCAATAAAGTCAGAATGGACAATCCCTCAAGTAAAAGCAAGCAAACACGTATTTCACTTCTTAACAAAATCTTTTAATTTAATTACCTTGGGCTTTGAGTGAGGATTCAACATCTCCATTAACTCAATGAAGTGGGCAAGCCTATTTCGCTAAAAGACAAAAATAACAACGTTAGTCCAATCATCATCGCATAACTTCTGCATTTGAAAAGAGCAAATACGGATGAAACCTTTGTATGGAAAAACATGAGACACTATCAATTATAAAAAGCTCCTATATAAGGACCAATGAACTTGAGAAGTAACAAAGGGCCCCTTTGGATTATGTTGCCATGATTGGATGAATACCTGAGGCTGACGATAGATGTATTCCTCAGTGATCCGCACTGCAGTAGACCCGAGACCCCATCGAATAATATCCATTGATGGGACTACTCGCCATCTTGGCCCGCAAAGGAATGGATGTCTAAGAGCATCCAAACAACTGTATCACAATTCATATTTTCAATTAAATTAGTTGTTATACCAAGGATACAAAATATATCTCTGCCCAATACTTCAATTTTAGCGAACAGTGGTCACATTAATTTCATGCATCTAAAACCCCACTTGATTTTTTTTTTTTTTTTTTTTTTAGAACCAAAGGCGAAATGATATTAAAATAAGCAAGGATTACAGAGTACATACTGAAAGTAAACCAGCAGAAAAGGAATTAAAATGAAGAAAACAAGCAAACCCCATTTGATGATGGATATATGATGCCAAAACTCAAATAATATGCAGAACAAAACTAACATTCAAATTCTATCACAAAAAGGTGAATTTGGCTGCTAACACAGGAAACAGCCAAATTAGTCATTCAAATTTCAGCATCAATCAAGATTCTTCGATTCCTACAATGAGAGGCCAGGCATTTGGGGAAAAAAGGGTAACATTATAAACCTCATAACTTGCATTTGTTTCTCCAATCAGCAGACAAATATGGTGCATTCAGGCAATGCTATTCCCACACAGGACTACCCTTTGTAGGTTGCTTCTCTTGTATTATAGCTTGTGGCTCAAGTGTCAATAAGCAACCAATTGTTTACATTGACTTTTTTTGTTTGTTTTTGTTTTTGTATTATGATACATGAAGCTGGAAACGCACTGTGTGTGTAGAAGAGTCTCATAAATTAGCAATAGCACTTAATTTAATTCAAAATATAAAAAATATCTACTAATTATCCAGGTTTTGAACTGCATGCTTTAGCAAATAATTAGATCTCACTTTACTATCTTCATGGACTCCACAAGTAAATCCAACTAGGTCATTACTTTGTTTTGTGTTTTGGGGTTGAGCCCATCATCCACCATTTCTGTGTT